TTTTATAGCTCTGTAACTAAGCACGATAGAAGAACTAAATCGAGAACAAAATTATTTGGTTCGGCTGGGAGAATACAGGAGAAACGTTTACGACCCCGAAAACTGTTCAGGGCTCAAGTCCCAGTAAAAATGTTGGTTTCATGAATACTAATTTTTTCTATGATATTAACGATGCGTATCGAATTATCAGGCTTATGATATGCTTTCGGGAATTAAAGTCTGATGCGAAATGAAAACATTTGTTGAATTTCGCTACACTAAATCTGCGGCCACTCTATCTGTCGATCTACATATATCAGTGCAAAAGTTGATTCTACCCCCACACCTCTTTCCTCGTAAATGAAAAATCCCTCACAATTTGATAACAATGAACATTTACTTTGTTAACGAACGCGAAGAGGGTAGTAAAACACTGGAAACTTGGCCACATTGCAGGATTTTTGCACCCCTGAAATCAAGGAGTCTGGATAGCAGCAGATTTTACCCACTATTCAAATCGGCCACAGCACATTCTATGCTTTTACTTCGCACATCGAAGTATTGTTTATTAAGGTTATTATATTGGGATGTTTGTATAAAGCAGTTTGCGAATAAATAAATCGATGAATAGTTTTCATGCGAATCTTTTGGAAAACGGATTGTTTGTAGTTCACAAGGAGAATGACAAATATATTTAAACGGATCCAGAATGTGAAGATCAAATTGATTCAGCATCTTATGTATGGGAGGCTGAATATTCGAGTTCGTTACTACATATTTTGTAGCAGAATTATACTTGATACAGAATATCTGCGATCCCGAGCTCCGTCACAATAAGAGAAGGGCAAATGGAAGGAGTAGTAAGAAGATTCCTTATGCGCTGTTGCTTCTCCTTCCTGGCTGTACGTCGGTTGGCTGTCGGCCAACATGCGTATTTGTAATGGTCAACGAAGCTCGGAAATGTCTTGCGACAAGTACACTTCGTCAGTTAATTAGTTTAGAGGTGCTAGTTCGATAGTTATTAAACTTCTCGGTCAGGCGGTTGTTAACTCTCACTTCGTGTTCCTGTGGTCTCGGACTTGATTCTCCGCCCAGAAGCAAGTTTCACTCACAGAGGCTGTTCTCTATTTCTACCCATAACTGTGCGCCTTAAAATAGGCCACGCCCGGTCCCTTTTCCAACTTGATTAATTTTACCATTCGATATTGTGTTATGAATAAAACATCACTATAAATTGAGAAACAAACAAGAAGCTTTGTCAGGCAATTTTAAGTAGCTGAAACATAAATCAGAAACGAAAGATAATAATGATATTAATACAAACTGATAAATAAGTTTCAATTCATGGTGCTTATTGTCTCGGTACATATGAAATATTCTACTCAGTAGTAAGAGATAAAAAATGAATTTAATCCACTTCATTATACAGATCCAGCAGCGAGAGTTCTTTCGTGGTGAATACATTTATGCCATATTATCAATAAATGCCTTGTTTAGTATCAGATCGTAAAGGCTTTATCACCCTTGTCTCGTCATCTATATTTTGATTACAATAAGGAAGAGACTTCGTAAATTGTGGGTTTCCGTTTACTGGTCCAGTTGAAACCGACTTCAATCAGACTGAAGCGAGAAGCTAGTAACATACAGACATCTCCTTCAACAGATATATTTATAGCTCGTTTGGGCAAGGAAATAGCTTTAAACGTGACGATTCAATTTCCGACATGAACACTGACATTTCTTATCGGCATGCTACGTACGTACCTGATTTATTTACGTGTAGTTTTTCAACGATGCTTTTTTTACTGTTGAGACGGTTGACCGGAATGGGAAGGTCTTTTCAAATGATGATTACTTCAGACTTTATAAGGAGGCTGTAACCTCTTTTAAAATAGGTTGTTTTTGGTGTCATCGGGTCGGAGCCGACCCCTGGTGGCATTATGAACAAGTTCCCTCTGATAGGGACCTGTTCATATGTTTCCTAGGCAAATGATCCAGAAGTGGTTTGCCGTTGCCTTCTGTGTGCTTATTGTCAAATGATGATGAAAATGGAGTAATTGGTGGGATGCCAAGGATAAACCTGGGAAGCCCCGGAGGAAAACTCCGTGATACCTTGCCCAACACAAGTTATAAATCCGGGCACCACCGGGAATCGAACCCGGGACCCCAGGATTACAAGCCCAGCGTTCTGACCGCTAGACCATTAAAACAGGTTACTGTTCCGATATTCATCTTGTAATGTGGGAACATCACGAAGGTCTTAGTATTTTATTTCTATTACTTGACACTGATGCTGATAATGGTGGATGCATGGACAGTCTATGAAACGTCGTTTTGCAACGCCGTATTTATACGGCTGATCGTCCGAGAATTCATTTTATTCTGTCGCTGTGAAATTTTAAATTCCTAATGTAAAATATCTTTTACGCATAAGACAAACAATATCGATTTTAATTACTACGTCAGTGAAGTTTTAGTTAGTAAAATAGATCTTGGTGTTAGTGAATGTAATTTTTACTGCCACGTTGATCTTGGACATTTTCAAGCACTAAGGAAATTCGAGCTTATCCATTATATTATGTATAATTTTTCTTCTTTAGGTATTCATTGTTTCATATAATACTTTAATAAGATGGCAGCTAGGTTATGCTTTTATCGTACGGAATAATCTTATATTGACTGACTCGAATGAATTAGAAAGTATACAAAAACTTTAGCCAGTTTTTTTAATATCTTACCTAATTAGGATGCCACTTTGAATTTTTGAATTTTAAAACACTCTTATAGGCAACGAAATTTCTATGACCTTTTCTTTTTATGTTTTAAGGGAAAACAAATTGCCATTGCATTTCATTGTGTGCTAGGCAAACAATAGAATTGTCTGCTTTCAACGTGAGCAGTTCGATAAGACAGTCATTCAACTGGGTGCACCATTACTGCAAAGCTGTATGCAGGCTTTTGGATAATTTTAGCGAAATCATTTTCTCGTTTCATGACTCATTCTGTATATGGGAAAGTAACTGTATCGATTGTTTGAGTTTAATTTTCTTTTAATTTGTACCCTTTCAACATATATATTAATTTGTTGTTGATTGTTTGCCTGTCATAGGCTCTTTGTTTTTGGCAAACACTAATAAAATAATTGAGTGAAATGACAGGCTTACGTTATATTGCTGTTCTAGGAAAACTATGCTGTAAATTAATTTTGTATTCTTATTCAGGAAAATGGTAGGAGCTCGTTCGATGAAGAATGAGACTATTAAAAAGCTCCAAGAATCATATCAAGACATAACAAGGCAGACGAAAACTCTGACAAATATCTGTACCAAAGAAAAATTCGTACCCGCTATTCCATTATATGTGGCATCAGAACTCGAAGCTGAAAAGATCGAATTTAATAATTTTGTAATAAATTCAAAATTTCCATTTTAATGTAAAGCTTGTGCCCTCACTTAAAGGAAAGAATAGAGATTCATAGAATTTTAGAGCGAAATACTAGGGAGAAATTTTGAACGCAAGGGAGACAAAAGTACCTTGGTGTGGAAAAAAATTAGATACAAGGGGATTCAAAATTTGTGTTTTTCATCAAATATCACTAAAATTACCAAATGAAGGATGATTTGGGTGGGTTATGTAGCACGTACGGTAAGTCGTGAAACACATTTTGGTAGAAACACCGTATGATGGAGATTACTTTGGAGAGATAAAATGTAAGCCGAATAGAGAGGGTAACATACAAATAGATCAACAGCTTACAGAAAGATAATATGAGAGGATGGACTGGATTCAACTGGCTCGGGGCAGGGTTCATTCGTGAGATTTTGTGAGGAAGTTATTTACGTATATGTGGGTTCCATACAAGCAGTGAATTTCTTAACTTGCTGAGTAACTATCAACTGTTAAGGAACACATTACACGTAAAGTTAACTGAGAAAGTTAATTTGAATTGTCTATGTGAATCTAATACTTTACTTGGTTCACACACTTGTTGAATTTACACAGACTTCTTGATCCACTTTTGCATCAGAAATATAGGTGCAATGGATGGAGAAAGACGTTTTAATAAATCCGTGTCTCAAAGAAGATATCAACAGAGCGTGAAGAAAGAACTTGCACAACAAAGACAGATTAAAGAAGACAGAAAGAGAAGAAAGGGAAACTAGAGTTAACAAAAAAGGAAGAAGAAAGAGGTTGGATATGATAGGAAATCCTCTTTAGAAAAGATTCGTACGAAGAAGGAAAACTATAAAAGAAAGTAGAAGGCAGTTTTATGCCTCTGCTGGTAATCGGGCGTGTTTTCAGCGACCGATTTCCGAGTCTTTATTTCTTGGCTTTACAAACCCGGACACGGACAATGCTGGGAGACAGACTTTTTTGTTTTTGAAACCACCGACGATGCTTCCACTGCTCTGCATGATACTTAGATTAATCATTTCCTGATGATGGAAGCAAAGACAGTCTCCATAACTTTGGAAACTCATTCATTCCACGCTTACTCTATTGAACACCCGAGGAGACTTCTTTGTATTCACTTTCAGTGAAGTCTTCGAATCTTATTCGTTACAACCTTTGACTCATTGTGAAGATTGTTTCTTTAACATTTTGGATCCGATTCACTTTGTGTGTTTTCTGCCTTACAGTGTCGGTGACAGAAATACAGATTGTATCCGAAAGGGCTGTACAAACTGGGGTAATTTCTAGGCAGCAGAACAATATGGACATGGGTCCATGAGCGCTTTCTATTCGGGTTACAGACCTGCACGATATTCTGTATAAAAACCGCTTCAATTGATATTAACAAATTCAGTTTTTACTGTTTCAGGACAGCAAAAACACACACATCTTATTTCACCTTAAGACATATTTCAAATTTCTTGAACGATTGGTTGCCTGATGTTCTTAGTTTTAAAATGCAGAACTTGTTTCAATAGAACCATTTTCGCAAATTCGCATTCTTATAGTGGCTGTGGTATGGTTCTGTCTTGTTTGTTCTAACTTCAGTGTTGTGTTATTGTTTACAGGTATCGAAAATGCTCACAAGGCTGGAAGGATCGCCAGCCTGGTTGGGGTCGAGGGAGGTCATTCGCTAGGGGCAAGCTTGGGTGTGCTTCGAGCCATGTACGACCTGGGGGTGAGGTACCTTACGCTCACACATTCCTGCCACACACCTTGGTGAGTCCGTAGCAGAGTCGTTCAGTGTTAAGTAACACAAAATGAAACTGTAACATTCTGCGTGGATATAAAGTTATAGTTTTTAATTAAAATGTGATTTTTAAAATGGTTATGAAGACGCTGTTTCGATTGTCGCTTTCTGGTCAGAGTATAATTCAGAAATCAAATTTCTTCATTTATGTGTGTTTAACCTTCATTGGCGGGAAAGCGCTGCTGGCTACCTATAACTATCAATATACAGTTAGTCCCAAAAAGTTGAATACACAATGCTGACGTATGTAATGGTTGTGTGTATACATCTTTTCGGAAAATCCCATATGTCAGGAGAGTTTATTTTCATTGACATTATCGAAATAAAAATATGTTCAGAGTATAAACTATCGGCGTTTCTGAGCATATCTCCCTTGTGGATAAACTCATGTAAATTTAGTCTGTTGAATATGACATTTTTATAGATGGATTTTTATTATTTATTTATTTATAAATACTTTAGAGAAGATTTAATATTAATACTTTTATCTGTTGGTTTTCCCAGCAAATTATATTTTTGCTAACCAGTCAATATCAGTATGGAAATCCGAGGTTTCAGTAATCTGATTAATAATTCGAAACCACTGTAACTAGATATACATTAAATTTACGTTTGACAATTACATTAACCGTGTTGATATGCTAAAATAATTACCTCTCAACTTGAATACATTCTTAAGGGAGTCCGTATTATGTTCCATATAATCGAGAACCTAAGACTCGGAAATAAGTGGCATTATTGTAGTCCACGTTAATAGTCTCCGTATGTCTGTTCCATTGTGTTTTATTTTAAGAACCACAAAAAATTATTAAATATAGTTACGAATAACAGGAAATTTAACAGATTATTATATGCATGCATTATGTATAATTTATTACTGAATAATAATCATCTAAACACGTAATTAGAAGAAAATGGATCCAAAATGCCTTACAATTTGACAATAAAACAGATACCGACGGGCAAGTTTGTCATTGAAACATTTTGGGGGATTAAAGGATTCACATCTGTAAATAAAACCATACGAATGCAGAAAACACGGGAAAAGATAGAAGCTAAATTCTGTAGTCTGAGAATTAAGGAAGAACTTCTGGGAACAGATTATAACGTCTATATTTTTTTTAATTTTCATTCTGTATGTCGAGGCCATTAAAAATTAAACATTTTAGTGATGCCTATCTGTATATTTTGCTTTCATACAGATTCTAATTCAAAATTATCTCAGATATCAATGTTTTTGCATCGTTTCCATATTAGTAACTGCAAACATTTTAAAGCGTTTCTTACAGAATTTTTAAGTATATCTGATAAGGCTATCTGAATGCCTAGCTTGAATTATTCATTAATTATCGCCACCAAACCAAGATGTAAATATGTTCTATATTTTGTCGTCCTAAAGTTGATACTTTGCAAAGAACGGTGCTTCGGCGAAATTTGCTTACTTTGCTAATCTCTTGCTACACAAAATTGTAGTGCTCTACATTAAGTGACGCTTGGATCGATCCCGTGTAGTAAGCATGTGCAGATAACTCATATGCACATTGCGTGTTATAAAACTGAAAAGTAAAAGTGGTATGGCCCCCCAGTGGCATGATAAATATAGCGTTATGAATTTTTTTAAATTCTTTCCACGTTATTAAGAGAGTCAGATACGCGATCACACAGACCTATGGACCTACAGATACCACAAACATATCTTACTATGTAGTTGAATTAAAGTGGACTGAATATAAGCTGGTTATTTTCTGAGTTGTTGTAGATTAATCAACTGAGTAAATTAACCAACTTTAACCATTATGTATGATCTGAACCCATTAGACTCAGCAAATTATCTAGCTGTATAATAAGCAAATGTTGGTAGCTTAGTTGGTTGCTTGTTTGCTTAGTTGTTTGGTGATTATTTGCTGTTATGGAATGCTGGAACTTATCGGGTAATATTTATTACTGTGATCATTCATCCGTGGTATACTACTTGCATGCACTTGAATGCAAAGCAGCAGAGTTATTACAACCTGAATATAAGATCATATCTGATATTACACTGCACTAAATCGTACCATATTATTTAATTAAGTAACGTTAAATAATAATTTTAGTTCTTTTTACTATACAACATTACTTAATTTTAATTTTTATATAATGCTTTGTGGAAACAGTTCACTACTGACACAAAGGGTTACTTACATGGCCTACTATGTACGTACATATACTTATTTTAAATGCAGCAAACCAGATATTTACTTCTTAAAAGTTTGCAACTTTCACAATTATGATTTTAATTTATATATGCAACTTTGTTACACTTTTTAACAAAATTCGTTGTATAAGTTTAATTTTCCAGTAATTCGTGATGGGTAATTTTCTGGTAGATAAATACTAACAGACCTACTAATGGCTGCAATTTTAAATCAGCCTAGAGCTTCCCTATCTTTGTACAGTTCTCGCGTACTGTGGTGAAACGTTCATACTGGTATGTCATGTCTAACACAGTTTGTATTCATTTTGTACTACTGTGTAAAAAAATATCTGTCCTAATCTCGCGCTTTCTGGTAGGGCAGACTCGTCCTCAGCGCCGGTCTCCGACGGCAACACCAGACGCGAAGGACTCACGGGATTTGGAAAGGTGAGACCACATATTTCACGTATTTCAACGGAATTTAAACCGGAAATTTCACGTGATTCTCACGGAATTTTGAACAGTAAGAAAACATTACGTTCAAGTAACGTGGAAAGGTAAGAACACATAATTTTGTTAGTTTTCATCTGAAGTAAGTCTGTATTAAAAACCATATTTTAAAATCTTTCACGGCCATGTTTCCCAGATCGGATTTCTGCAGCGCCCTAAAATAAAGCAGTTATCGTGTACAGTCATTTGCTTCT